TCTCTACTAATTCCAAGTGGCTTAGTCAGCAAGCTTCACTTAACTTTGAAGATTATTGGACAAGTTTCATTGCTAGCAATTTCCTGTGATTAGTCCTGATTTCTTTTTCACTAGCCAGTTGCATCCCCCAATTTCTAAAGTTAGCCCTTTTCCTCACCACTCAGTGCTAATTCTGACAAATTAAGCAGAGTTAGCTTGGTTGTAAAAATGAGCCTGATTCTGCCATGTGTGATCACCTTTTGCCCGCAGGACCTTACCAAGCCTTTGCCTGCACTGTCCTAAACATGCTTCTCACCCCTCACTTTACCCCTACCATCCTAATAGCTCTATTTAATCGTGCTTTGGCCATATGTAGTTCTTACAATCTTGCTTTGCACTGAGGAGGTGCCATATCTTTGGATCTCAGCCCAAAAGGCACTGACACTCAAGGCTGGGTAACCGGTTTGTTGTGTAAAGGTTGGCAACAATAGAGAAGGCGGCAGCAATTTTACACCCCTTCTGATGCTGGGAAAGGTGGCTGCTGCGGCATCAGACAAGACCCCCCCCAGGCTGAACACAGCATGCTGCGCAGAGTTCCCATCCGTGGCTGGGAGGTTGGCCAGAGGCTGGCCAGACTCTTCTTCACAGCTTTACACTACTCTTCCAAGTGAACACAGCTATTGGTCTCGTACCCGCACAACGTTGAACTTTCTAGATGTCACACTGAGGTTTGCTTGAGGTGTATGCACTTAGATGTGTCCATAGGAACAAGCTCTTAGAAGTAGTACATGCAGACGGTATTGTCAGCGGCAGCACATGCTCATGTCACGGGTACGTGCTCGCATTGTATAGCAGTCACTCATGCTAAAATACAGGTATCTACAGTTAAGGACTGGGATTAAATTCTGCCCAGATTCTACTTGAAATCACTATCTCCTCTTTACCATGTCTTCCACAGTGGCCCACTTCAAGTCTTCGTAAATCAATCATCTTAATTCCCCGATGAGATGCAAGAGTTAAACGGTTTTTTCCCATGTGAAAATGGCTGGATGAGCCTTTGAGTTACTACTGACAACTCTTGTTTTTGTTGTTGTTTCCAGGGCGGTTCGTTCAAAGGTTAAACAGTCCCAGTCCATGGAAATGGGATTACTGAAAACATCTGAACGAGATCAGGAGTCAGAAGATGAAATTTAGTATGAATATGGCTTGACTAGTTTACCCGCTCTACCATTAGGCTAACTGATACCTCATTTCTACATTTGTTTGCCATTTTATTCGTTCTTTACTACAACTTGCTATGTAAATACCATCCTCTGAGTACTGTCTACATCTACACAGTTTTATCTTTATTTGTGGAGGGTAGGCTCGATTTGCAGTGGTTGCACTAGTACCTTGCTTATCCCATGCTTCAAAGAAAACCAAACTAACATTAGACAGACTTGGAGTGGATGAGGTGGCATGATAAAGTCTGTGTGTTTGCCTCATTAAAAGCTAAGCAAAATGTTTTCCAGCTGCTGCTGAACAGGCTGTTAGGTTTCCACTATTAGGGTGTCCAATAAGCACGTTTGTTACCCTGCAAGTAACTGTGCATAAAAAACTGTGCAGACGTGGAAAACAATAGAACAAGATAAAAAAATCAGAGTCTTGCAGCTGTCTCGTATAACACCTTCGTGTCTCTGCTTGTGGCATTAAGTTAAATAGAAAGAACTACTCACTGCAAACCCATTCAGCGTTTCCTTGAAGAGTGTGTAGTGTGTTCGCTCCTGTAGAGTCAACACCAAGCTTGGTAGGAGGACCAAAGAGGTCTATGATGATCAGAACCCACTGCAGTTTTTCATTCTCCTGCCTGGATAGTCCTGCCTCTTTGCTACCACTTGACTTTGAAAGGGAGTGAAGTGACTGCTTTCCCTCAGAACGCCGGGAGCAACTTCTTCTTGTCCAGAGAGGCTGAGGGGTGTCCAGTGGGGCAGCGCCCGGCCGCAAAGCCGGTTTCTTTCCCAAAGTAATCTCCTTTCCTTAGGTGGAACTTGGTGGAATTTCAGCAGGGTTCATAACAGACACGCGACTGGCCCCAGCACCTGGGTCAGGAACGAGAAATGCAGATCTGTAGGCAGGATGAGATGGATTTGCATCCTTTTCCCTGTGTCGCCCCGCAAGCGCCGGGCAGCCTGCGCAGTGCTGCGTGGTGAGCTCTGGGAGAGCAGATATTGCCTTCATAGTAGCTCCATGCCCAGCTACCCACAGCAGTGAGTGACTTTAAAAAAATATATATTTTTTTTTAAATTGTATTTATTTTCTCCACAAAGACTGAAGTCTTGATCCAGTGAAAAAACGGAGTGCCCTCCCTGACACTCAGTGTTGCCTGGGATGCGGTCCAGCCTCAACAAGAGGGAAATAACCGGTACATGACAAAAGATGACGGAAAACAATGCTGTATACAAGCACACCACCCCTACAGAGCGGACTTTCGAAGCATCGCTCTAGCTCGGATACATCTTTTGAAGGACTTGCATGGGCAGCTGGGCAGAACGGAGCACTTGCTGCACCCCTGCACCCCTGCTCTCCTTTCCAGAGGACTGAGCATGGGATGTGTGCTGGTGCCCTTGGGCTGTTTTACATATCCATCAGTGGTAAGGTGATCATTCTGGAAAACAGCCCTTCCCTTTAGAACACCTTCTAAAAATATTCTTTTCTAAGTATTTTCAGAAACAGGCTAGTGCAGGACAACAAATTCTGTTCAAATAGTACCAGCACGTCAGGTTTGGCGCTGCAGAAGTGTGTTCCTTCTATTATTCGACTATTTTGATGATCCTAAGATGATGATCCTAGATGATCCTAAGGGAATGCAGAGCTGGACTCTGGTAGATGAACAAGAGCTGTAGGATCTGGTCCCTCTACTTTTGCGTTTCCCCTATGTTTTTTTTCAGTATGAACCAGAAAAATGAGTAGACAAAATTGTTAATTGCAGTAAGCTGATTGTTTAAAATGATAGGCAATAAAATAGTTTGTAGCTCAAAGAGATCCCAGGACTCAGAAAAAAAAAAAAAAAAAAGGCTTTTTCTAAAGCTATTTCACCTTCAGTCCTTTTAGGACCCATCTTTTATCTTCACTTTTTCAAGGAGTACCTTCCTTAGCTACACGTGCTGTTAATGCTGAATTTTAGACCACCAGGCTTATCACAACACCTTTCCAAAATTAGTGAGGTTGTTTATTCTGAAGGAGATCTTCAGAAAGTACTTTGCTTCTCATAGGCAGGAACAATGCAAGTTTCTTCATTGCTTTTCTTGATAAATTATATTTAATACTGTACAAATATTAAGGTGCTGTATCTCTAAACTAAAGGGAAAACATAAGCCGGAAGAAAAGCATGATAAAGTGGCTGAGCTTTGATATGTCTTCTTAGAAGACTTCAGTTGGTAATTTTTAAAAATTATTTTAGATCTTTGCCAAGTATTGTGAAGTGGCACTTGTTACCAGGTGTCAGATTATCCAGATGTATCTACTTTGGAAAGAAGAATAGCTTGCTCACAGACATTTCTATGTTTAGAAATGTAAAATGGGAAACTGCAGATGTATAGCCAAAGATCACCAATTTTCTTAATAATTCTTTGTCCTTCTTCAACGCCTTTCTCTGAAGGGCTCTGGAGATTCTGGCAAACTTTAATGAATTCTGTCTCAGGACATTCTTTTCAGCTAGGTATTGGTATGGCATTTTTGTAGCTCTGTGTCTCAGCTTTGCAGTGGTCTCACTGTGAACTCTGAATTAATTGATATTTATACCGCTCTGCAAATCTAAGACTTGAGTTTCATTACTGTGGTTCCACTAAGATCAGATTTTCTGTTGGCATAAGCCAGAAGGAAGGTCCACGGTTTTGCTGAGGAGCTTGCCTGTTCATTGCAGCAGGGATACATTGGCCAAATGCAGCGCGTCGTTACGCCCAGCTGTAATCTCTCCTTCGTTGTGCCAACATCACTCTCGCCTTCTAACTTGTTGGGATTTTTTTAAAGGGCAGATTTGTTTCCCTGTTAGCATGGTTGGGGTATAAAAAGCTTCTGCAGTGCTGGGCAGTGAAGACGATGGTTGTGTATCAAAAAGATTATTACATGTAATGGGGATTGTTACAAAAGTCTGTTGGGATAAGCCAAAACCAGTTGGCGAAGCGAACCTCATGGGGTTCAGTAACCCGGGCGAGCTCTGGAGGGTGCTTAGCAAACTCTCCTTTTGCAAAAACTGCTTCTTCAGAAACAAAAAGTGCCAGTACCCGAACGTGATGGCCAGAAGAGTGGCTGCCTGCCGTGGTTCCCCCTGTGACCACCTCAGCCTGGTGGCTCTGGCTCTGTCTGGCTCCGCGCCCTGGCATGAGCCCCGCAGTGGCTGTCGGTCTGCGTGTCTTCTTGGGGGAAAACCTGAGCAGGGCTTGGCCTGCTGAGAGATGTCACCTGTATCTCCTCCATCTCCCTGCTGTGAATCTCCCATAAATGATCAGAGACCTGGGCGAATAAGCCCATCGGACACATCCGCTGTTTTTGGTGCAACCGTGCTTAGAAAAGGTGCCTTTGAAGAAGCCCAGCCTGGAGGCTATCGCAGTCTGTGACACAGGCTGTAGGGCAGGCTTCTTACAAAAGCTATCCCGTTGTGTAGGAAGAGAAAGTGGCATTGCATAATTAAGCTTGAAAAAAATGCAAGGAAAAACAGATCCTGAAGCCTGAAAGAAACAGTAGCCTCTTGGCTTTAATTTTTAATACTTGCAGTACACGCAGAGTGAGTGTCATAGTGGGGTTCTTGTGCCTGATTTTTTTTTTGGTGCCACAAAGGAAAGAAATATCCCATTTCAGGGTGGGTTTTTGCTGCGCCTGACCTGTTTTGCTACACCTGACCCGTTCTTCTCAAGCATTGTTCAAAAGAGATGCCCGGGAACAGTAAGGTACCTATTATGATGAAAAAGGTACAACTTACGACACATCACTAGCAACAGACTTTGCTTGAGTTGAATGAGTGGAGGGAAGTCTGACAAGTTTACAAAAGCCACTCAGAAAAATATAGCTGCTCTCAAAAAAATTTAAATTATTGTTAAATATTGGTGCCTTTTAAAAAGTATATGGTAGTTTCTAATAGACAAGATATGCCTGTAATTTTATTTAAATAAAATTGATTTATTCATATAAGATGTCTGTCACGTCTTCAGGGGAAAAAATATAATCATTTATGGGGCAGGATGGGGCAGGATAGACATGTTACTCTCATAGCCCACCCAGACATTTGAACAAGTTGCACTCAAATTCAGGAAAGGTTAGTGCTGCCTTGTCAAATTCCCTTGATTTTACTATTTAACTGTCATTTACAACACAGGTGAAACCAATTCTTTCTGAGGTCTGGGCAGTAGCGCTTCACAGAGCCACAGAAGTCAAATGCTATGGAAAAATGAGATCTCAGATTTGAATCTGGTCTCCTACATCACACATGATGGAGCAGCCAGCAAGACAAGTAAACAGAACTGCATGAGTGGGATCTTTCTGTTTTGGCAATCTTCATAAGAAAAATATTTAGGATTTTATTTGACTTTGCTCCCTTTTTCCTTTAAAGAAAAAAAACCAAAAACCTTTTTCTGCTGTAAGATGAAAACACATTCTGAAAGAAAAAACTGAGATACTTTATATTTTTCACCAGTTTCTAAAATTGAAACTAGGGCCCATACTTGACAAAAAGTAGCAAATAATTTTGGCCACTGTCAGACTGAATTTTGGGGATAAATTGATTATACATTAAAGATTACAGTCCCATGGCTTGCTTTCATCAGTCCATGGATTTGATACCACTTTGTTACATGTTTGACAGAGAGTGTTTTTTTGTCAACTATGGAGAACTTCGGGTGGGATGCACTTACTTGTACATAAGAAAACTTTTAAATTTCTCCAGGACCCAGGTAAGGGAAAGTCAGCACTTCCTAATTTCCCATTTCATCTGGTTGCTCACAAATCTGAAAGAGTCGCATAAGACTTCTGAAAACTACTAGTCAGAAACTTCAAAAATCTAGAAGTAGCTTTAAACAAACCAATTGGGGAATCAACCAGTTTGCATTAGAAAATCAAATGTACCAACGTCACCATATCCCCTGGGGTTGGGACTGGAGTTAGCTATCTCCAACCACATCGCCAGCGTGACTGCTTACTCTCATGGTTGACCTCAAGGAAAGGGCACTGACAGGCTGCGTGCCCCGTCTCGTTTGGGCAGTTGTGTAAAATGCACGTTTTGGCATTGGCTCTGTGTAAGACAGACCAGCTTCAATGGGTGGCAGAAGCTTGGCTCACAATGGGAAGATGTTTCCACCCGTGGGGATGACTCAGGACCTCACGGTTGCGTTGGGGTGAGGCATGGAGGGAGGCACTCATGCATGGTATGGGGAGCCTGGTCTTGGGATGGCATTGCCTGAGCCCAAGAGAGCTCGCTCAGTGTTGTCAGAGGGCTGCAAAGGAGTCAGTAGCCTGAAGGAAAGAAGGCTGAAAC